TATGTAAGTGATTTCTTACTTTCACCATATTCTGACCCTGTGTGACCCAGATAGCAGCCAGAGATTTTTGGGCAGGTTCCTGTTACTGCTGCTCCAAAGTCTAAATGAAAGACATAGAGGTCAGGCCTTTGCCAGGAGTGCTGCAAGACTTTGGAACAACCTGCCTGAGAACACAGCTTAGACGTGACCTCAGTGCATAAAAAACACTTTTATAGATGTTCTGTCATGCAACAAACTAAAACCAAACTCTATTTTTCGTCTTTTGCCTCCATAATAACAGCCTTCTTTGCCTATTTTATATATTTAGCAACATTTAGCATTATTAAGAATTTCATTTTAACATTTAAGTGGAAGAATAGCTTTCTGCAGGGCTATTTAAAAGACTGCAGCAGACGGAGAAGCTTTTCACAACACAAGCGCATAAACACAAGACACAACTCTGAAGGAATGTCCTTTTCCACAGCTCAGCTCGGTAGAGGCAGGTGGGTCCACAGCCTTCATCTACGCCAACTTCAGTATTCCAGTCGTGGAGGTAAACACTCTGCCAATGTCTAAGCAGCATATTTGTGTCATTTCTGCCTCAAGCTAGACTATTTCAATTGACACTGTGCCCCCCCTTACATTCTATGGAGCAGCTGTCAAAATGCTAAAGGGTCAGACCATAGCAACAACAGCCATGAGATTCTTTATCCTACACAGTACTGCTATTGTAAAGTTGAGACTCAGTGGAGGTTGAGGCTGTATTTTGGTTATTAATTGAGCCGGAGCATAAGGTTTACCAGGACATCCCTGGGGTTTCACCTCTCACCTTACATTTTAGTAAGATCTCACCTACCGGTTGATTATACAGAAACAAAATTATCTTAATAAACTGTTGAAATGAAATACTTACTAATATTATACTGTAACTGCAGGAGCTCTTATACAGTACTTGACATTCAGCTTTAACCAAGATACGCTCTAACCAGGTTAAAACTAAATATATTTTGATAAACAGAGATAGGTTAGCTATATTTTCAAGCTTAATATATTATTATTAAAATAGCCTAGTTTTAGCCTATCTCTGGGGAGGATTATTTACTTTTCTGTATTTCATATAAGAGTAAGCAAACTATCTTTTGGACTTTTTGGCCAACATTTTAAACATTGTGAAATTTGATTGCCATTCTTCAGTACTTTGGATAAAAAGATTGATCTATTAACCGAGAAAGACGTTGTCAGATTAGTCAATAACAAGAAAATGGTAATTTGCAACTTCCCTAGCTAATTAAAAGGTATATTTGCTTTTTTTTTATTTTGCAGAAAGCGGCCATTTTCTGGTGGAATCTGCATAGAAATGGTCAAGGGAACGAAGACACGCTTCATGCTGGTTGCCCGGTGCTTATTGGGGACAAGTGGGGTAAGAGTCAGTAAACCCTGTATGATGTGATAGTAAAGCCGAGCAATTTATCAGGCCCATGTTTTCATACAGACAGATTTTGCCATTTTGTGCCATTATCACAGTCTATTTCCAGTGTTCAGCCCTCCTGTAAGACAGGAGCAAATGTAGACCTACAACAGCTAGGCAACATCTGTGCTGCATTATGCATTTAGAGATGATAGAGAGTGCAGTTCAGACAGTGAGCGCTCATCCTGAAAGCTGAACATCTGCTTCTGGTTGGCCCAGACCATCAAACTCCCAAAATGTGTGTTAGGGGCCCACTCAAGCCAGCACAATGATATGAACCCACACAAAGCAGCTGCAGGAGTATTTGGTGGTTGTGTTGTTGTTTTTTGAAGCCATAGACTTAACCTGAAATACATTTAAGGCTTTAAAACTGAATAATTGAAATGTTTAGAGGTGTAGTGTCTAGGATTTCGAGGGATTAATGGAATAAATTGAATATTGTATTTGTTACTAATATATCATTCATGAATACACACCTTACATGAACACTAGTAGTTACCCTACAATGAGCCCTAAATGTGTACAGGAGCAGTTTTTATTTTACCTCAAGGCCACTGTAGGTTTTCCGACATGCTTGTAAAAGGCTGGAAGAAAGGGTGTTAAGTAGGTTTGACATCTCTGACCTCACTGCTAGAATCCACTACATCCTACTCACTTGAGCTTTTAAAAGAAAAGGCAATCAAACTTTAATTTATCAGTGCTTGTGTCCTTAAGATATTAAAACATAGTTTGCATCGTTCCGTATCTTTCAGTGGCAAACAAATGGATCCATGAGCATGGCCAAGAGTTCCTTCATCGCTGCAGCCTGAATCCTGAGGAGTGAGGGGTGGAGCGATTGCTGGGCCCCTTGGAGCACAAGAGCCAGCCTCCACAATTGAGAGGCACGCTTGCAGGCAGAGAGAAGGAGGGAGCCAGAACATAAGCCCACAGGCAGGGGAGGGTACAGCCGTATAGGGGCAGCCGTGATTGGAGCCCCGGGCCTATGGGAGCCCGAAGCGTACAGTGCTGCAGTGGACATGGATAGCACAAGGCTGAGAGGCGGGACAGAAGAGGCTGTTGGCAATAATCCCCAGAGGCCAAAAGCTCTCTTGCTCTTACTCGCCAGGTTCTGCAGATGGAGGGAGGCCTCTGCCTTCTCACACTGTGCTGGATTCAGTTAACTGTGCAGGGGCTGTTTGCTTCTCTCGCTTCAAAACTGACATTTTATGCAGCCCCTTTCCTACACTGGGCAAACTTAAGGGTCTGCCATCACATATCAACACAGCTGTACCTTGTGCAAACTCTCAGAACCTTCATTCTAATGTGTATAAGTTTACAAAGATTCCTGTGCCTGAATCACAGTGAAATGTTTATAAAACGATGCACAAGGAAAGGAGAATGTTGTGCAAGTCAATTTATTTATAAAAATGCTTTTAAGGGCTGGAACAATCAGATATAGAGTGTGTGAACTTTTTTGTACAGTTTTATTTTAAGGTAATATCTTTGTTCACTGCAGCTAAGCAACAGAGATTGGTTCAAGTTCTTCTACAATGGGTCATCTCAGACCCCCGGACTGCAGCTCTGACTGGTGCTATGAGTCAAAGGACCCAGTCATTGTGAGCGTGCATGTTTATTACCAGCTGACTAAATTATATTGTCACTGTGAGATCATTTCTTTAAATAAATGGTTGTCTAATGGAACAGTTAAGCCAGATGTGTCATCCTCTTATTGAGCTTTAGAGGCTGGGCGTCAGTAATCACACTCTGTACGCCAAGCAATTGGGAACACTTCGGCTGCCGACTTTGTGGCTAAACTAACACAAACAATGCTGTCTGCATACCATTGAAAGGTCATATGCCCATCTTAAAACAGGGTGAAGTGAACCAGATACATTATTTGAATTCACTGTAAGCTTGGGCATCCTGCTGATTAATGAAGGAATCTGTGAGAGTGAATAATAAGGGAGTGACAGAGGAATAATACCCCGGCTTGCTCATCGTGATGAATGTTTTCCTTCAAGCACCCCACGGTGTACATAAACAGACGCACCCTTCAAGCTCATGCTGTATATAACAAATATAAGAACGGGTCATATACTGGATGCTTATTGCACATGTCTGTGTGCACACTCAACAGCAGGACTTGATTATTTTAGCTTGGAGTGGATGGATAGCAACATGCTGCTTTTGGAAAGCTCTAATCAGTTTCATTACAGCGATACCATTAAAAAAACAAACAGATAAAGCTACTTTTAATCGCAAAACACAAAAATTAACACCATATTGTCAACAAAAGGTTGCATCTACTTTGGTCATATTTATAGAAACATAATATTGTATTTTCTTGTACAGATAAGGACTATTTTATGTTGTCTGCAAATCTATATGCAATCTATTTATAAGAGATTATATTTTATATATCAGAAACAAAAAGGGAATTCCAGGAAAGCAAAACGGTTAAAGTAATGTTTTCACAGGTCCCTCTTACAACCTGAAGCCTGACTTTTCCCTGAATTTCAAAGGGCTTTATTTTGCACTCTTCCTATACAACCTAAGCGGCCCTCCCTGTTTCCATGAACACCACTACAAACATGGCTTTAGAGTGACTTGTTGCTATGCGATAGCAGTGCAAACTACCTAAGCATACATGACTAGAGCATATATGGTATACCTCAACACACTGCCAAGTACATACAGTAATTCGTTTTAACAAATTGGCAACATTCCAATCTTGTGGAACATGATGAAAAAAGCATCAGTGTTTGTGCACATCTCGTAGAAAGAATACTTGAGTAAACACGCTGACGGAAAGAGTGCTGACTGACAGAGGAGCTGCTAAGCAAAAGTCAAATAAAGGGAAGAAGTTCAGCACATATCATAAAATCCCAAGTTGGAGAAAAAAAAGAAAATCACTGCAGACTCCTGTGAGTGGCTTCGTAGCTGTGATGGATCAGTGTCACCCTCTGCTGGTGGTGTAAGTGAAGGCTTCATGAAGTTAGACTTAGACTTGGTTGGACTTTATCTTTCCTCAAAAAGTCCAAAGACATGCAGCAATAGGTTCATGGCAACTCTAATTGCTTATAGGTGCAAATGTAATGTTAAAGAAATACCCTAAAATACTTTGTGTATCAATTACTTACCCTGTGTTACCTTGAATGCCATATACAGTAACTTAGTTTTTCTCGCCTGCGTCCATAAAGAATGAATACAAAATACAGAGAAAGGTCTTGATGAGTAGCCTATGTAGCCTGAATGGGGGCTGTATTTCACAACAAAACGTTATCAAAACATCCATTAACACACTCTCCAACAATTCGTTCAGTTCTAAGTCTCATTTATTCAATCCTGTGCTTTCCCAAAAACATGCATTTTCAGCTGCAATACTTTATAAACTTGATCATTTAAGTCTGAGCTAAACCAGCGACTGTCATCATGCAACGCTCACCTGGGTTAGGATTAGGGTTAAACCATGGGTTAAACGTGTGTTTATGATTTTTGGCCGCCACATCAAAATCAACTTCATTTCCCAGAATGCCTCTGTAAAAAAGCAGCGGCAGCGGAGGCACTCTGTCGGGAACACTTTAGCGGGCTGCCGTTTGTATGTTTGTGTGGGTGTGTGTGCGAAACCCAAGCAGCTCTGTTAAACGGATTAAAGTTAGTGGAGTTAGTGCACAACGGTGATAAAAACCATGGCTGTTGAATGTTTAGGCACTGCTTCTGCCAGGCTCTTATTTAAAACGCATATTTACTGAGCTGCGGGATGAAGAGCAGAAAACAGAGGACCGTCAGAACCGGAGGCAGCAAAAAGAAAGGTAAACTGTTGTTAGCTTAGCTACCTGCTAGCATGCTGCTTAGTTACGTGAAGTAGCTGTTAGCGTCAGCTGTCACATTAGCCGAGTATATTAGCTTGCAAGCTAAAGTTGATGTAATATGCTCTCACTTTCTGACAATCGGATTTTGTTTTTGTTTGTGGTGTCCATGTTAATGTGTTGCAGTACCTGCATTGCACTTTATGGGTATCCTAAATTGTGTTTACAGTAAGTTAAGCAAAACTCATAACATCATTTTTTCGCAGAGAAATTATTTTGTATATATCAACAACGTTTCACTCGGTTGTGTAAACATAACATTGTGTAAACATAAAATTATAAGAGACATATGTTACATATGTCTCTTATAATTGTATGTTCTTGTATTTTGTTATCTGCTGTGTCTAGAACTTCGCAGTATGTGTTGTTAGTAGGTGTTTTTACACATGTTGCCTAGATAACATATTAACTTAACGTTAAATATTGAACTACAAAATAACTAATTACGAAATACATTGCAGTAGGCAACACCTCAGGTTTAACGCTAATAATTCAATGCCATAGTGACTGTGAGGCAATTCAAATGTGATATTGTGTCCCAAACACAGCATGGCTGCTCCACTGATTGAGGTGAACTGTCAAAAATAGTGTCTAACATTGCTGGGATAATACATTATTTTTGGAAGTATCATGATTCATGCCTGTTTAACTCATTATTTGAAGACCAATATTCCTACAGGGATAAATTCAGTATCAATGTGGATATGTTTGGTTAGCATGTTGAAGCACCGGTAGCCTCTGTGCATCTGTGAACAGTAGCTCTCATAGAAATCATTGTCACAATATTATTACAATTTTTTATGTTAGCAATTTTTAACAATAAAGCGAATATATACAAAAACACATTTTACACTATGACATATATCTTAAAAACGTCTGTGGAAAGCAGACTTATTTTAGTTTTAACTGAAGGAAAGATAAAGATGTAAAGAATATATCAATAAAATATGATTCTTTGATCTTAATCCTTCAGCTAAAACCACTTTACTACCTTTAACATTTAAAGTGTTGTAATCTGTAATGAATTATATCTCTTTCCAGTCCCCAGCGATGTGCCCCCCGCCACCAGCCTCCCTCCTCTGGTCGAAGGCCAGCTAAGATGCTTCCTGCGGCTGACCATAAGCAGGGTATTATGGACAGTTCATAAGCCTCCACCTGCAACATTTGTGAGGCTGCGCTGGTGGGGAGAGTCCTCAAACGGGACACACTTCTTCCCGAGAGATGGCTCACAGCCGTCACAGAAGACCATCAAGACCACAGCTCGCTTCCCCATCCGCTGTGGACCAAAGCAGTTCACCTCATATCTTACAGGTAACTAAGATATCTTCAATGTGTTTGAGATGGAAATGTTGTCACTAGCCACTAACATTTTAATGATGAACAGATATGGGCTCCCTGGTGCTGGAAGTTCTGACAAAACCTGATCATCTGCCGATCGCAAGGGCTCAGGTTTCGGGTATCTCTCGCCTCTCTCTGTCCCACCCCATCAGTGGATTTTACACCCTTATATCACCTACATCTGACAAGCTGGGAGAGTTACAGGTTAGTCGAAACTTGAATTCACGTTCTTCTGCCACCTGCATTTGTGGAATAATGTTTGCTATGCTGAAGGGTCCTGAATATTGAGACTCCTGAAATTACATTTCCTTTCCTTTTGGCAAGAGTAGGCATCTTTACCAACTGCAGGGGTGCTATTTATATCAGACTGACCATTTAAATATCTCTTAAGCCTTTTAACATTTCTATCCACAATTATATCGGTAAAGTGTTTGGGGACATTCACTATTTACAACTCATCACCGTCACGTCATGTTAATATTACCATTATAAAAGGTGGCATTGACAAACTAACCATTATAACTATAATTAAATAGATAAATTGTAATATTTGCAATTTATCTCTGCACAATGATACTACTTTAAAAATGGCACAGCTCATCCACTTTAAGATATACTGAACATATTGTCATTGTTATTTGTCATATTCTTTTTGTATTTTACTTGAATGTTTTTCTTGTACACATTCTCAGATTTGATAGTATTCCTTTTCTTTTTCCAGGATCTGCTCCTATGTTACATTCTAATATCTCTTTACTATATTTTGTGAGTCTAATTCCTTCTATGTGAAAACCAATTCAGCAAAAAAACAAGATTCTGATTTTAATAAATACTGTTAAAAATTCTCAAGCTGTTATATTTGTTGCACCAGGAGCAGTACCTCTAAGCTTCTTTCTCTACCTCCTTAGGTTTCCCTTAATCTGGAGCCTCTGACAGAAGCCTATGACAGCAGCAGCTCTTGTCCCATCACAGATATTAGTGTTGAAGGACCAGAAGTAACCAAACTGAATGTGCCCTCGCAAACCAGACCACTCTCCGCCGTCAGCAGCAGTGGAAACACTCCAAGGTTCTAAGTACTTGTGTGTCTTGTTATAAGCTCATTGGTAGTAAGTACATCCGAGCATCATAATCTCACTGTTTATATTGTTGTTATATTTCAGAGGGAAAGACCACTTGTATTTCCAAAATGCACAGAAGGACAAAGAAGAATCACTGGAGAATCAGATGCCGACAACAGACAAATCTCCAAACAGTCAAGCGGCCATGAATCCTTCATGTAGACAGCTCTGTGGTCAAACCACCAATGATATTCTTTCAGGTTGGTTGCAGCATGACTACACAACGTAACGAGTGCATAACCACAAACGCACACAATGAAGTGCCTCTTAACAAACCTTTTCTCCTATTTCAGTTATTCTGGAGCGTGGAAACAAGCTTAGAAACGCAATGGTTGTATCAACTTTAAAATGTGACATGGATTCTGCCCCGGCTCTGAAAGACACCCCTCTACCTCTCCCAAAGGAAAACATCCTGCCATCTTCAAAGTGAGTGTGTTTTAGTGTGAAAACAACAATGTTTTCTATCGGCTTATAATACACATAATACTTTCTCCCTGTGTCTGCAGGCCCGTCCCGTCTCCCTCTGGGATGTTCCTTCAAAATATTCTTCATGCTGATTCAACTCTCAAGCACTCTGAGGATGTTTCTGTAGTCTCAGACTGTCCTATGGACATGGATAACAGAGCTGTGCACCTGCTCCTCGGCAGGTACTTATGCACACATTTATTGCATTAGCGGACAGAATATGTAAGCAGTTTCTTTTTCAGACGTTTGTATACTATTTTCCCCCCTGTTTTGTTTAGCTTGAACACTTCTCCTTTGCCTCTCTGGGATGGAGATGGCTCCTTCCCTGAATCTCTCTCTGGCCATAGCAGTGTGTGTGGGGACAGTGAGCTCAATGATCCACAATATGACCAGAGCTTACTGGAACATTTGTTCTACAAAAGTCCTGTAAGTAGTACATTTTATAATGATAAAAAGCATGTTTTATCTGTAATATCACTCTCACTGTACTTGATTTTGAGGTAGGGGTCATATAAAGTCGTTCTTTTCGTGTTCTTTTTCAGATGTCAGATATCAAACCAGACGACACTGAGCCAGAGGGTCAAGGAACAATGTCACGGAGTAAAAAACAGCTGACACAGTCTGCACCCAAGATGAGTGAACGGTATGGCCTTTACATGCTCTATAAACCATGTACCATTTTAATAAACCCTTAATATGGGATACACACAAGCTGCATTCAGCACGTAAAAAACATACGGTAGATGTAATACATTAACTTTTGTTCATTTAAGACAATTATTAACCATATTTTCACTGTGTCTAGTCCTAACTCAGAGCCTCAGCGGTGTGCAGATGCTGCTGGTATCCCTCCTGGTTTGAGTGCAGAGCAGTTCACTTTGCTGAGTTTGATCCGGCTTGCGAGAGTCACCATCGACTCTCTTATTGTACCTACAGGAAGTACAACCACCACACCTAGAAAACCCTCTAGTAAAGGGAAACCTCCTCAACCGTTAACCAGCAAAAAGTGGTAGGCAAAACATTGAAGATATTTTTTATTTCACTTAAACAAATAATTAAATGATTATCAGTTCAAGCATGACATATTTAATCTCTTTATCCGTAGCACATATTTTGTAGAGTATCTGTTCCCGACGGCCTCAACTTCCAGTCGACATGATCGTAGTAAGGGTGGAGATGGAGAGGTGACCACAGCTGTTGCCAGTAAAGTTGCAGGTGGAGGTATGTCCTGTTACGATCTGCTTTTAAGTAACCAACTCGAGTGAAAAACAATGTTTATGGTAGGTGCTTGTGACAGAATCTGACATACTGTATCATTTTTGTTTTTCAGCGGTAAAGTTCCATCAGCGATCTGTGTTTCCTGTCCACTTCAGTACAGCAGCAGTAAACAAATGGTGGGGAACTGATCTGCTTTTCAAGATTTACTCACGAAGGAGCGACCAAAAGAAAGTAAGTAGATTTCGTATAACATTAGTAATTTGATTGATAAAATGCATTAGATTGGTTTGTTTAAGAGTGACTGACTGACTCTAAAGTTACTACAATTTCTAAGTGTTACATTTGTAACTGCTTAAATGTAGTTGTTGTGATGTAAGTTCCCTTTGATAACTATAAATAAATAACAATACATGTGTTTGCACAACACTGTTCTGATGGTTTTTAATGGATCTTTTTAATGTTTTCTATGTTATGGGTTTATTTGCACACTGTTGATTATTTAGCACCACCAAGAAAATGGTTAATTTTTCACAAAACAGAGTTTAACATGTATTAATAAAGTGCTGTAATGAACTGCTGATGATGACCTTGGCTTCCCTTGCTGCAGCCTGTTCCCATCGGCATGGCGATCCACCCGCTGCGCTGTCTGCTGGAGAGCGAGCAGCTGAGTCAGTCTGTCCTCTTACCTGTGCAGAGGGTGGAAGCGAACAGTGAAACACAGGAGATTGGACCCCTCAGGGTATGTCTCTTTTACGCAGGAATTTATTTTTATAAGCCTGTTTTTTGTACCCAAATATCTGTCATAGGGGTATTTTTTTTTCGCAGGTGTCGCTAGAACTTGCTATACACAATAAAGATTTCTCCACTGAACAAAGTAAAAGCAAGCTGGCTCGGAGAGATGCATCGCCTTCTCAAACTGCACCCAGTCCACAGAGAGAGAGCAGCTCCAGATCTCACCATGCTGACATTGAGAGGGAGGAGCTACCTGCTGGATCTTTTGAAGAACCCACGCTGAATGCTTGGAGTCCTCAGAAACACTCAAAGGAACCTTCTCCTCATCTCGGCCTCCGAACATCTCACAGATCACAGCTACAGGTGGAGGAGGATCCTGAGGTTCTGCTGCATACGTTACTCATGGTGCCCGATGGAAAGATCTTGCCCATGCAGGCTCCAAACGTGTACCTGAACTGTAAACTCTGGTGTGATGAGACAGCGAGGTCTGTCGTCAGCTGGGGGCAGGCAAATCCTTCCTTTAACTTTGTTCAGGTTAGCCCAGGAAATCAAGTCTTCTAACCATATCTTACTTTTTACATTAGGCTACAATGGAAGCAACATGCTAGAACAATAACAACACAGTACCATGACTTTGTCTCCATCCTTTGTCTCAGGTGACCCCTGTGGCCTTAACTACTAAGCTGCTGGAGCGGATGAAGAATAACGTGATAGTAATCGAGGTGTGGCAGAAGACGGGAAGTTCAGGGCAGGATCGACTCCTCGGCCTCGTTAAATTACCTCTCCACCAGTTCTACATGTCATTTAGGCAAGTTGGAGAGACTAGTCGGAGAGAGACTAAAGAAAATAAATAAAACCTTTTTTTAGATTAGGAGTTGATTGGCACCAAATAGTCAAAGTGCTAGTGATTCCTTTGGTTATGAAACAAGTTGTCCATTAGTCATTTGATTAACTAATTTGTTTGCAACTTTTTTCTAATTATTAATAATGTAAGACTTTTTAATGCAAAAGTACTTGCAATTCCCTTGCCTCTGACATCTCATGTAAATATTTGTTGACTTCTTTTGTTTATGATGGTCTATAGTTAATACGATTTTTACTGTTTGACGGACAAAAGAAACAATTTGAAAAATACATCTTCAGCTGCTGAGAAACGGGTTATTTGAGAAAGTAATCAGCAGATCTTTTATTAACCTGTCCTCTGGGAGGCGCTATGGCACTCCACCTCAAACTGTTATAGGATGTTCTATCCTACATGCCAGATATTTGTTGTAATCTTAAAATGAAACTCCAGGAATTTACACCACAAATTACATTTCACAGTTAATAAATATACCTCTCACAGTGAGGCTTACATGACAATATATTAACCCTCTCTGCTTTTCTCCCCTGCAGGGATCCAAAGATTGCCCAACTTCTTCTCCAGGCGCAGTACCCTGTTCTAGGGGTGGACTGCTACATGCCGCTCATTGATGTGTTCTCAGGAAGCTGTAAAGGACAGCTCAGGGTAGTTTTGGCTATGGGCCGATCAGAGCAGATAGCTGCCCTCCAGCGCACGAGGGATGAAGAATACGACTGCTTACCTCATCTCGTGAGACCAGTTCACCTGCTGGATCACCAGTCTCATTCACCAAAAAAGGTTAGACAATACATTTTGTCACACCGATGAACTTTACTGAAGTGTACTGCATACTTATGTGGGTGCGAGAGCAGGATCTTCAGATATCTCACGTCTCTCATCCGAGTGTGTTTCTTCTTTGTTTCCTTTATGAGTGAAGAGTACACACCAACTGTGATGACAAGTTGTTAATTCTCTCTCACCTCCTTGTGTTTCCCCCTCAGGTTATTGCACCTCAACAGGAAAGTATGAGAGAGCATGTGTTTGTGATAAGAGTGGAGAAGGTAGATGGGCTGACCCCTCTGCAGTCTACAGTGTGGGGCGAGGCTGACTGCTACGTCCAGTACAGCTTCCCCTGTCAGGAGGCTGACCCTGCTGCAAAAGTGGACCAGAACCTCATAGAGAGTAGTAAGTCAATTTTACTTTCTAATTTCCCAAGTTGTTTATCTTCCCTCTGCGTCTGTCTGACCTGTAAGCAATCTCCAACAGGCGTAAACCTGAAGCCGTTCCGTACCACCACCACTCTCTGCGTCCCGGACCCTGTGTTTGGCCACACTGAGACTCATGTGCTCCTGGCTCCTGAAGGACTTCCTGTTCAGAGGCTGCTGCTTAGCTCTCTTTCGACTAAAGGCCTAAGCAGCGGAGGGGGTGTCCAATTTGAAGTCTGGTGCAGGTTTGTGATTGTTCAATAGAGGGAAATGTAATTGGAGATGCATTCATTACAACTGTGGTCATTACTCTGAAAAGTTCTGAGGTTTCACGTGCATAAATCCTGATCCGATTCTAATTGCAATTTCATTAGCTCTTAGCTTAAAACGTACTGGTTTTATTTAGATTTTAGATTTTTTTGTTTTTACAGATACTATTATCCAAACGTTCGAGACCAGCTTGTGGCCAGAGGAATGCTTCCTTTGTCCAAGCTGTGTGCCATGGTCACCATGCAGAGACAGCATCCTAATGAGGCTCAAATGTTCTCCCTGCCCCTGATTCCCAGGACGAACAGTCCCATTGCAAACCCGCCTCAGCCCTCAGGTACACAGACTCACTGAGTAATGGAAACTAAAAATAATACTGTATTGGCACAATTAGTATCTTCAATGTTCTGTTTTGTTGTCTCAGGATTACTGGATGTGTGCATTCGGTACAAGCACCGACCGGTGAGACCTGAAGGTCAGACTGGTAAAGGAGTGGCCTCTCGTGTTGTGACCCTGGTGGTTCAGGTGCACAGAGCATCAGGTCTGCAGGCTGCAGCAAGGTACAACACACACTGTCCTCTTGGGAGCTTTACTTGTTTTGATGCAAGGAAAATCCACTTAGCAATGTTGAGAGTGGTGTTTTTTGGGGGCTAAATGTGTGTGAATCTGTTCCTAATGGTGTGATGAAAAAGGGCAGTTTATTGGTTTGAATGCTATTTTTAATTTGGCAGTTGTTCAGACTAAAATAACACATTTTGTAACTCCTTATGATTGCAATATAATGTCAGTTAAAGTAGTTAGTGTTTTATTTGTCAAGTTAGAGCTCTCCTTGCTGACATTTCATCCCCAGCATATTGTCCTTGAAAGAGAAACTGAAATTGAGTTTCTCAACTTTACGTTTTGAGATACAAATAAGACGAAATTCCCTTCCATTAGTCTGTCTAATGGCAAGTGTTTCAGCATCAGAGATCCGAAAACACATACTGACAAATGTCTTCCTTATACATATATATGTAAGGGATAATGTGCAGCGAGGCGGTCATTACTATATTTGTAATGACCGCTGTAATGACCAATAATGACCAAGTCGCTGCAACTTATCCCGCTTATTACAAGGCCACATTCTCAACAAAGTAACGACATGACTCCCAATATTAATTGAAATGCTTTTATAGATTTAGAAAATGTTTTTATTGATTAAAAAAAATTGTTTTATTGATTTAAATTGACATGCATCCACTAAGAAAAATAGTCCGTTGTTACCGTTTGAACTATGTAGCAACGGCAGGAACTGCTTTTTGATTACAGATTTGAAAACATCGTTGCTTGCGTTAAAAGTTGCACGATTCATTATGTCAAACCTTGGAAAGTATCTAGATATCCCTGCCCTAATGCCAAAGTAACTGGCAACTGAATATGTTTTGCCGTTTGATGTCTATGTCTGGACCGCTGCGTAAAAAGGAGGGTTTCTGCCCCGTTACTTCTCCGCTGTTTTCTTGTCCCTCTTGTCTTTTTCTTTTCTTCGCTGGGGACTCGTCAGCCACTAACCATTCATCCACATTACTGTGCTCTCCAAATATATTAAAATGTTTATTAAAGTCCTCCATGTTGCTCTCACACGGTAGACAACGGAAAACTAAAGACAAGCAAACTGTATACAGTTAGATCGACCAGACTTCTTTCTGCAGATTTGAGCGTCCTTAACAATGGTCTGTACTACTGGATTAACAACATGTCACGTGTTCTGAATTGACCAATCAGAATCGAGTATTCAACTAAGCCATGTAATAAACTTCCTTAATGTCTTCAGTTTGCTAATTTGCTTCTGTCTCTCTGTTACAGGGTTTTATCAGAACAAGATGACAGATTCAGCTACTTTGCTGGTGTGGGAGTAAACTCGTTCATCACGGTGGAGCTCTCGTTTTTGCCTGAGAGTGAGATGAGGTGCACCCGTGTCGCTGCCAGGACCTTCTGCCCTGAGTTTGACCACCACATGGAGTTGTCCTGCGATCTGCTGCTTCAGAGGAGCAGTGGAGAAACCTGCAGCTTAGCTGAGCAGCTGGAAGAAGCCTCTGCTGTCTTCACTGTCTGGAACAGAGACAGTCGCAAAGGTTTACAAAAGCTCAGTTCAATTTTTCCACTATTACTATATTATAATGATTTTAAATTTAAATGTTAGGTTTTTTTCTTATCACACTAACCATTTAATATGCAAGTGATATTTGTATTGTTTTACAGGCAAGGTTCTAACTTTTATTCAGCTTATCGTTTAATAAAACATGTACAGCATGCAATCAAACAAACATTTTAATTGAAAAATGTGTGTTAACGAGTTGGTAAATATTAACAGTGTTGCTCCAAGTTAGAAGAATGTTAATTACAACATGTTACACAATTGCTTGGTTCAAGGGAGTCTTTCTAGGTTATCTTAAATGTTAGAAAAGAATGTGTCTGTAACTTACTAATTATTTTTGTGCTTTTTCTTGTGCAGTCCACACTCATAAGCCTAAGGATGCGATGTTGGGCTCAGTGAAAATACCTCTTGCTGATCTCATCCATAAAAGAACAGGTAAGCTCCTCTCATAGTGACTGCTGTTTGACTTGAATTTCCTGAAAAAAACGACTCATTTTCTCATTCATGTTACTTTTTCCAATCTTAAAGGTATTTCAGGCTGGTTTGGAGTGTATACACCTCAGCAAACAAGTTCTTCTTCTCAGCAGCAGCACATCTTGGTCGGAGGCCTTGAAATCTCCGTCAGCTTCGCCCACCACTCAGACAGGGAAAGAGTGATAAAAGCTGCTCAGGGTTTGAGCTGGGAAATGGCCCAGAATGACAAGCAAGAGGATGAAGAAGCTTGGGGAGACGGCATGAGAAAAATGTCTTTAACTGTTTCGATTCCTAGAGCGTGGATACCGGTCCACTGCTTGCTTCTGCCGGGCCTCAGTGAGCTGGAGCGCTCCACGTACTGCTACTTCAGGTACAAGTTCTACGACCAGGAAGCCTTCTGCTCTCAGATGAAACACCCCTCTGTAGAGGAGGGGGGGCAGGCCACGGTGACCTTCCAGGGAAGTAGAGCAGTGGAGCTAAGGAGCACTCAGCCCTTGATGTGGTATCTACGAGAGGAGAGGCTGGAGGTCCAGCTGTGGGTCGCATTTTCAAAAGAGAAATCCCAGAGGCCTAGAGACACTGATCGACTGGTGGGCTCAGCATTTGTTGATCTGTCCTCTCTTGCAAAGACGCCGAAGCAGAAGTTTACCATCAGTGGTAAGAAATTACTATTGTGTTATCATTTGACTGAATAATATTGCTTGAGAAAGATTATGGCTTTACTTCTGGGTGTCATCAAAGTTGTGTGGTTTCCCAGGAGTGTATCCGCTGTTCAGGCGCTCAGCAGCAGATCTACAAGGGGCTGCTATCAGGGTACACATCGCCATGACAGCAGGGGATGTCCCAGTGGAGCTCCCTGCTGGAGTTACCACTCAGGTGGACTCGGACAGCCAGGGGGAGCTCCTATCAGAGGAGGAAGCAGCAGATTGTATCACTTCGCCAGCTACACCAAAACAACCACAAAGCACACACAAGAATAAGTCCTCCGGAACAACTCCAGACATCACACGTGTGCAGCATACAGAAATGAGCACGGAGGAATCTTTCCCTGTGACTGTAGCAGTGGATCGAGCTATGCACCTGAATCTGAAGGGTGAGTTTGACTTTACTTAATGTTTGTGTTCAACTTTTTTATTTATATTGCGCCTTTTGTGCAAAGATGCAATCATGGTTCTTAAACAATAAGCATAGCAAAGTACAATAGAGTAGATGAATCAAGTGGAATTAGAATAGTTGATTGCTAAGGTAAAAAGCTATTGTAGAGGCAGGGACCATAAACACTAAATGTTGCCTTGACGTGTTGTGTTTCCCTGGCAGGCTGTCCTCTGGCAGAGCGCAGTGAAGGGTCGCCGTGCTGCTGTGTTTCCTACATCACTGCCGACTCCGCTGAACCAGTGTCCACTGCTGTCTTAGCCAACACCGACTGCCCTGTGTGGGACCATCATCATGAGTGCAGGTGAACGACACACATAAATACATCTTTTAAGATATCTATGGTACACTGAAACAAACGTGAAGGGCACATTTTGTTTTTGAATTCACAGGCTTACAAATGAGCTACTGCTCGATCCACAGCAACATCTCGTGTTCAAAGTCTGGCACAAAGGAGGTACAGGAAGCAGTTACACATCACAGCATACATTTAATTGATTCATTTCATGATTCATTTGATAAATGTATTCTCTCTTGGGGTTTTTCTTCCATAGAAACGGAGAGGGTGATTGGATTTGCGTCTGTAGACCTGTCCCCCTTACTCTGTGGGTTCCAGTTGGTGTGTGGTTGGTACAACATCACAGACTTCAGCGGTCAGTGTCACGGCCAGCTCAAAGTGTCAATCATTCCTCTAAAGGGGGTCCAAGACCTCCGTGGAAAGAGAAAGGCTGTGAATGAAGAAACTGCCAAAAACTCACCAGTGAGAAAACGTATTGGTACATAATAAAACTTATATTTTGGATTGGCCACAATTGTGATAATGATACATGTGTTTTATTAGAAGGATTTATTCCAGGCACTCCCTGTCATCTACCATACCACAGCCACCTACAGCAGCTTCCCCTCTCACATCAGCCAGCACACAGAGCAAAAGATCTCATCACCCGACATCACGGAGAGGCTGTTCTCTGAAAGGTGTGTAGAGAAAAGAAAGATTACACATTTAACTTACTCTTTATAAGTATATTTATCCACGTGCTGTAAAAAAGCCTCCACATTGCATTCACTAATCTCTAATCTGCTCAGGTCCAGTGAGAGTGACCGCCACTTTGAGCACATGGACAAAGTGCGACTGTACCATCAGAGTCTGCAGGAGCAAACAGCAGCTCCTTCTGTCTGCAACAGCAGCAGCGCTGGTGACATCAATCCCTCCAGCTCCTTCCTGTTTTCAGCACTCAGGTATCATTCCTCACATGGACTTTCACTTCTTTGTTGTTGTTTTTTTTTTTAATCCAAGCCAAACCAATCCTTGTTTTTACAGGAAAAAACTAAGTGAGCTTGACAACATCCAGAGATACTTCAGCCGTAAACTTTCAACTCCCACATTCCCGCCCACTAGAGAGCCGGACTGTCAGACCAGCCAGGAGGAGCAGAGGGACTCGGAGACAGACACACGGCAGCTTCTTCTCAAGTCCAAACACTTAGTTGGACAAGCAGACAATATCATTAGTGGTGAGCACTGTAATGTAAGCGGTTCCATTTTATGAGTCAGTAATTAGCAGCAACATTTTTCAAGTCTTAAGTGAATACATTGTTTTAATAACGGTACATTGGATGGCACATGTATTTTAAAGGTCCCCTATTCAGTGGCGTTTTTATATGTACAAAAGTGGTGGGGCACAAAGAACTTAGATGTCTATATATAAGCTTCTGAGGTTCATGGCTGGTGAGGCTCTGACTCTTCAGGTTTACAAATATTATATTTTGACCTAAATCAAAATATAATATTATTTTCAAAAGCTTTTTTTGTCTGATGCTTCAATTAATTTTAAACAGACAGTTCAACAAAAGGATACCCAAAAAATTTAATTGTATCATTTAAATATTGAATTGTTCTCTCTTAGTAAGATGTTCAATCAAATTGCAGTCTTACCTTGACATGAAGATGAAGTCCATTTGCCTATCCTTCTGGACAAAAATCTCTATTACTTTTTTGTAAAAGTCCTCCTTATGTTCTTCTAGTTTCTAAAGTCTATCATAAATCTGATCTAATCAATAGATTTATCGAAAATTATAAAAGTAGGGTAGACATGTGGATATTATCCGGCTGAACAAAACGTGCATTTATCTAACAGGTTTGTTTCCCACAGATCTTATTTTGAGCTATTTTCTAAAATCCTATGGAGAAATATCATTGCTTTTTTGTGGAGGGAAGCCATGCGCAGTTTATTTCCGGGTTTTAGGACGCCTCACTGCAGCTCTCTCTCCTCCTCTTCACACACCACACTTTTCGCGGCACACGTACTTACAGCCAATCAGCTCTGAATTATGTGAGATGACGTATGGTGGGGATGGCAGCACTATGCCCCTATGGTCATTATTTTTTTGCCACACACATTAAATAGGACAATACTCTGAGCATGCGCAGTGTAGTTTTTACAGTCACCATTGACTTAAACAGGGAGAGGGAGGGGCAGGATCGGGTTTTGTCCCACATGGCTCTAAACAGCTCAATAGGCACACACTGTAGACACTAATTAGAAGAACACAGACTAACACAGCAATGTACAGACGAATCAGATGATTAAACATGATCTTAAAATATATTTTATATATTTTTTAATTTATTTTTTGCATTTTTTTGTAATCATTACTTTTAATACTTTCTGCTGACACTAGGTGGGGCTGTGCCCCACCTGCCCCTAATGACCAGTCGCCACTGCCCCTATTATACTATTTTTCATCAATATATTATAGGTCTCAGTTATATACAAAACATGTCTCTGAAGTGTTTGGCTCAAAATACCAAACAGATCATGCATTGCAGCATCCCATAATCCCCTCTGTTTCAGCCCTGTTTCAAAAGTGCTGATTCTCTGTCTGTTACTTTAGATGAAAATAAGGAGCCACTCCCCACGCCCCTCTGAGATATTTGGTTAAAATGAACACTATGGTGCTCTAGGAGGAGGTTCAGGTGATAAGGTGGGCGGGGGACGTGTTACATTGGTTGGTGATTGGCTAATGGTTACACAAGCCAAAAAATCGTTATGACATCATAAAGTGTCCAAAATCTGATCAGCTCATTTTCAGACAGGTTTTTATATAAATGGATCAGGACAAAAAGTGAGCGAATCTTTTTTCCTGAAACTTTCAGAATCTCTTTACACAGAGGGGACACATGTTTATGTATAAAATACATGAAAAAGTGGATTTTGCATAATAGGTGACCTTTAAAGTGTGTCCACTAATATTAGTTTTAACATTTAAAGATCATTCTTGGCATGTAAACTTTGATTTAGTTTACCCAGTGTTGGCAGCTGACCCAGAAACAGTCATTGCAGGGACAGTCTTCTGCACACGAACCCATAAATGGAGACATCCCTGTACCTTCCTCAGTCGTCTGATTAATACAAGAGGTGCTGAAATGTAACAAGTGGAACAATGTAAACACTGCATGGCTCTCACTTTGTATTGCCCAGGCTATTTATATCATATCATTATATGGTACATTATAAATGCAACTATCAATTATTTATTTTTTAACTCTAACTAATCAATTTTATTTATTTTTTAAATAATTGTAAAGGTCAGCTCAAAAACTCAAAGAAAAGTATCAAAATAAGACATTTGAGGATTTGGAAACAATATTTTGACTTCAATTGACTTAATCAAACCGTTACTGTACTTGTTAGATAATTTCTCTTAATTTTTTTTAAACAATATGGGTTTATGGCAACATCCCTTTTTAAAGCTGTGAACAAGTCATAAACACCACATTCAAGTTGTGGTTTAAGACAGTTGCTACATAGAACAGGATGAAATAGTTATGTAAAGGTTCTCCATTTGACATTCAGGGCATTACTATAGCAACAAATGACTAAGTGCTATGTTAAGATATAGTGGAGTAATTGCATACTGATCAGAGAATGGAGTCAAGCTCCCTCTGTGAGTGTTATAATCCAAGCTACTCTTTGCCTTGTTTATGTTAGTCTGGTCTATTAACCCTTTCAGTTGGGTTAGCCCCAATAGCTGCTATCTTCCATGTGGAGGCAATCCCTCTGAAGTTCAAACCTTACAAAGTATGACATAAAATATGGGAAGGAAAAAACATCCGTGTTGCTAACAACATCACTGTCCTCTTCACACAGGTCTGCGAGGATCCCACCTGGAAACAATTCCTTCAGACCACCTAAGCAGCTCAGCAACTTCACTTGTTGGAGACAACAACCCTCAAACTATCCCGGAGAGTGTCACCAGTCCACGCAGGGCTTCACATTTATCCCAGGAAGAGGAAGAAGAAGAGGAAAAGGTGTCACTCCTGCACTCGCCACTGCCAAAGACGTCTGAAGCCCAGTCAGACTCTGAGCCTGAGGGAGAGAAGGACGAATGGAGCTACAAGCTTACCGTGTCAGAAGATGAAAACGAAGAAGGAGCAGACCAAGATGGTACAGGTTGTTCACAGGATGAAGAAGCTGATGATGATGATGAAGAAGAGCTAGATGAAGATTACGATGAGGTTGTGGTGAACCCGAGGCCTCTGAACGAGGTGACTTCGTTAACGGACAAAACCAGCCCTTGGACCAGTATCATGTCAGAGCCTGACCTGGTGTCTGTGGAGAGCCCGGAGCCACCAGAGGGAGAGGATCTGAGAGAGGATGAGGACGAGGAAGAGGAAACGGTAGAACTGCTAACCCATAGTGGAGATGAGAGCAGAGAAGAAAGTGAACATCAGCAAAGTGACAGTTTTAATGGATCAGCTGGAGACTCTTCAGACACAGACGGTGAAAGGACAATACAATTTTCAGCCGAGAGACCACCGAAAGAACCCAGCAGCCCCAACGAAGTGTCAGGTGACCGAGTTCCTTCACCCACCACACTGCACGCCACAGATACCCATGATGCTTCATGCTCCCTGGACCATCAAGATGTTCCAACCCAACTGTATCCTTGATTTGTGTTTTAGGATTACATTTTACTTTTATTTGTTTGAAAAGGTCATCCAAGATCTAAAATAATGGAAAAATTGTTTAGATCTTTGAGTAACATTTCAGTTTTTTTGGAACACTTTGCTCCACAGGCATTTTCTGTCTTAACATACAGGTGTCTCACTGGTTCTTTGTGTGATGTAGTTCTAAAATGTGTATTGTAATTGTATGTATATCACTGAAGCGGGCACATTTTAGACGCTTTAACATTTTATATGAAGCTCTGCCCCTGTGGAGGTTCCTAATTTCTTCCTTCCCTCTCACCAACTGGAGGCCTCCATGAGAGTCATACGTTTAGCTCCTTCTTTCTCCAACAAGACTACTGACCCGGTGAGTATTTGTCAACAACTCAACTCCCTGCATCTGAAGTTACCTACTGTAGCTCCAGCTTCTATGAGTATTGGCGTAGCCCTCTCAGGCTATCGCTATTGGGTAATCCCCCTGCGCACCCGCGCAGCACTGAAAACACTTGTAGTCCACGCCCGCCCGCAAGGTGGGCCCCACCCTTGGGCTCCCTTCCGGTATAAATAGGAAGGAGGCCCGACAATTTGCTCCCATACAACATAACTTTTCTTCAGCTATTCTTGGAGCCAGTGGGGCCCAGCACTTAGAGGGCTACGCCAATACTCATAGAAGCTGGAGTTACAATAGGTAACTTCAGTTCTATTTCGTATATGGCTTCGCCCTCTAAGGCTATCGCTATTGGGTTAAGGGCGAAGCATGATGTAGTCTGCGCCCCACTGGGTCCGCCCGGTACTAGAAGCACAGACACACCTGCTCAATAACAACCCATGCCTATTGCGCCATGCGTAATGGCGCATCGCCGTCCCTGGAATATAGCATAACATGAATATTCTCCATGAGGGGACGAAGGCTGGGAACAATACATACCTGCCGCTGTGAAAAAGTAGAGACGAAGGTCATACTTTGCCCAGTGACAAAAAGAGGGGGAACAGCAGCTCTCTGCGTGCAGACAGGCAGGAGAGCGCACAGCTGGATCCCTGATGTCACTCACTCTGACAAGACACTCCATACCAAAAATGTGTCAGAGGAAAAAAAGGAAACATCCCTCTCATAAGAGGGAAAAAGGGGCCGATCTCCGCGTGCCGAGAGACAGGAGAGAGGCGCACAGCTGGATCCCTGACGTCACTCACTCTGACAAGACAATCCGTACAGGGTGTGTCAGAGAGGAATGGGAGACATCCCTCAATAAAATTGAATAAATGAACAGGGGGAAGACCAAGATGCAGCAGTGCAAATATCTTCCACTGACATTCCTCCGTGCAAAGCCGTGGAGGAGGAAATTCCTCTGGTGGAGTGCGCATTGATGTTCTCCGGGGGCTCCACCCCAGAGGAGACATATCCGTTGTGCAGACAGAGGCTGCCCTAACGAGTGCTTTTATAGTGCACAAACAGGTGCTGAGAACGGCGCAAGGCAGCCGTGCGCGCCACATAGCAGGACAGCGCGCGCACAGGACAGAGGAGATGAGACGTGGCTTCTTCCTCCGACCTGTGAGGAGGAGGGAATAAGCCAGCCAGGGTGATCACTCTTGACCTAAAAGAGTTGTGATGACCTTTGGCATGAAGCCAGGTTAGGGCGTAAAACAGCTGAACTGCCATCTCCTTGGATCCGGAGAGCTGACTAAGCCACAGAGAGAGCAGACAAATCACTCACCCTTTTCGCTGATAGAGCCAAAAGTAATACTACTTTGGCTGACAACAGTTTAAGGGGAACCTGATCAGGTTCAAATGGGGCTTTGCTTTACGGCCCCTACACACGGCGGCGTGCGTTACCGCTTCAACGCTTCTGCCCATTCACTTTGAATGGGGTGACGTCACGATTTGCCGAACTGCATTGTGGGAGCAAAGCGTAGCTTCTCTCGCGGTGCTCGCTGCAAAAGTAGAGCAATGTTCTACTTTTGCCGCCTCGACGGAGGCGTCAGCCAATCAAATCCCGCGTATGCAAATCTGACAGTACAAGCGCTAGCCAATCAAACCGCGTGTATGTTGGGAGAGCCAGACCGCAGTTATTTCCCATATGTCAAAAAATGGAGGAGAAAATTATCGTGGCGGTAGGGAATCACCCGGTACTCTATGACCAGTCCCTCTTTACATACAGGGATACAAACCGGAGGAGCCAAGGCATGGGGGGAGGTGGCAGAGACAGTGGGTGAAACTGGTAGGTTTTCGCCAGTTTGGGGAGTTTATATCCAGTGTACTTCATTTGAATGGACAGCTAGCAAGCATAGACAGTATATTTAGCCAGCATGGATGTAGCATGAATGCTTTGCTTTGTATGTCCGGGGCGGGACATTCATGTGATTGGTTGTTGGTCGCGTTGCTCGCGTTGACTCCCCAAGCTCAAGACACGCCCACCACCAAGCGGCAACACACGCCGCCGTGTGTAGGCTCCGTAAGTGTGCGTAACACCAAAGCCAAATCCCACTGAGGCGCCAGTGTGCGTGACACAGGTCTGAGTCTCCGTACTCCTCGCATAAAACGGCTGCTGCGTTCCGCGAGCTCCTCTGTTCAATTCGCCCGGAATATACATTGCTCTGACGGAGAGCAACGTGTGTGCGCGCCAAGAACAGCAGCCGCCTGCGTTCAAAAGCTGCGCAGATCTTACTCCTCCCTGGCGATTGAGGTAGGCTGCCGTGGCCTGTTGTCTGTGCAAATCAAAACATGTTTAATTGTACAGCAACGGGGCGAAGTGCTGGAATACTTCCCAAACCGGAGAACAGCTCCAGCACATTTACCTCTGACGCACGGGGTCGATGCGCGGGCGAATGAACCACCTCTGGAGACTCCTCCTGTGGGGGAGTCCCAGGGGGATCCCCACGTGACCAGCTGACATCATGCTGAGCAGCTGTATCACGGAGAGGGCCTGCGGGATGTGACACGCCGGAGAGGGAGCTGTCAGTTCCTCCACTCGCTGCTGCGAGAGCCGCGCTCTGCTGGCTGAGTTTAATTCCACTCCCAGATAAATGGATATCTGAGAGGGAAGAGGACAGCTCTTCTTCAAATTCATTATGAAAACCCAGGCTTTGACAGATGCGATACGAGATGTAACGTCTGTAAAGCGACTTCCTCCCTGGAGCGAGCCAGCAATAGCAGGTCGTCCAGATAAAACCACATCCTGGTGAACACATTCCAGCATCTGTTTGATCGTCAGCATGTGGAACACTGACAGATCAAGGATGGGTCTCACTCCCCCGTTTTTTTCCCGGGATTTAGAAAATAGCAGCGCTGAATGGAGCGCAAGACACTGTCCCTGGGATGACAGGAGTGTTTCTTGTATCCCATGGAACTGCGGGGGGAGAGGCTTCTCTGAGATATGCTGTAACGGTCGTCATGGTGACGAGCCATGCCCTCGCTGCTCGCGCTTCTTGAGGCGAAAGGGCTGCGAGGGAATCTCCACACGCTGCATTTCACTCAGGCTCTCATCATGAGGCGCGTACCCGCCCAGGGGATGAGAAGTGGTGTGTGCAGTGCTGTCCACACGAGGCGTTATAACGGTGCTCGTGGATTTATTATGACCGTGTATAGGAGGCATATCTGGGACAGAGGAATGCCGCGAGCTCTGCAGTTTATAAACCAATAGGTTAAAACAGCAGGCTTCTGCAGTGAATGAACCACCTCTGGAGACTCCACCTGTGGGGGAGACCCAGGGGGATCCCCACGTGACCAGATGACGCCAATGCCGAGCAGTTGCATCACGGAGAGGGCTGTGCGGGTTTGTGACACGCCAGAGGAGAGCTGTCAGTTTCTCCACTCGCTGCCGCGAGAGCCGCGCTCTGCTGCTGGCTGAGTTTAATTCCACTATCAGATAAACGATTGTCTGAGAGGGAAGAGGACAGCTTTTCTTCCAATTCATTATGAAACCCAGGCTTTGACAGATGCGATACGAGATGTACCGTCTGTAAAGCGACTTCCTCCCCGGAGCGAGCCAGCAAATAGCAGGTCGTCCAGAGAAAACCACACTCTGATCCCGCTCCAGCCTTCTATACACAAATGCGAGGAGCCAGGAAATATCCGAACGGCAGACTATTGTCTGGTATGATATTCCCTGAATGAGAAAACGCAGGAATTTCCTGTGTTTCGGGATGATGGGTACGTGGAAGTATGCATCCTTCAGGTTGAAGTGAACCAGTCATCCTGGTGAACACATTCCAGCACCTGATTTTCTTCCCCTTGAGGAACCCTGGAAATAGCCTCTTTCAACAGGAGTTCCTGCAGCTCTGATTGGAGCGCAAGACATAGCTTCTGGGAGGACAGGAGTGTTTCCTGTATCCCATTGAACTGTGGGGGGGGGAGAGGCGAACTGCAGGGCGTATCCTCTGCTGATCAGCCTGCTCATCCATCTGTCCATCAGACACACGCGCTGCCACTCTTGCCCCTTTCACACCAACGCGTTTTCAGCTCCGGCTCGGAGCTGGAGCCTGAAAAGTAGCGTTTTTCCTGTTCACACCGCAGAGGCGCCGCTTCTTAGCTCCGGAATCCGGTTCACTTCCAGCTCCAACAAATTGTCGGTCTAGAGGCAAGAGCTTCGGAGCTAAGAGGCGGCGTCGCTTACGTCGAGGCGGGGGCAGGGGCAGATTCGTCGTTGAAGTAGATGCTGAAGACCACAAAGAAGTCTTGCATTTCGCATGTGATGTTTGTAAAGTTCCAAGTAAAGTCGTCCCTTGTAAAGTCGTCCGATGCCTTCCATTTCGTTTCCTAAGAGGATAACCAAAGCGAACAGCGCTTCAATACAATCGGCCATTGTTGTTGTTGTTGTCGATGTGAGGGATTTCCGCGCGGTTTGGATTTTATGAAGCAGGCACGTAAACGGCGACGTCATGACGCAGCAGCGGCAGCTCTGGGCGGTGTGAACAGAGCGAGAGCAGAAAAGGGAAACCGGAGCAGAACCAGAAAAGCTCCCGCTCGGAGCTAGAAAGGGAAAAGCGCTGATGTGAGAGCTGCATCTGAGAGTGGGCGCACGTGCTCGAGATGTGTTTTTTTGGTCGTCATGGTGACGAGCCACGCCAGAGCCCCTGCCGCCGCTGCCCGTGAGGCAACCCAATATGGGCTTGGACCGAAAGGGCTGCGCGGGGGCCTCCACACGCTGCGTCTCACTCCCACTCTCATCATGAGGCGCGTACACGCTCAGGGGATGGATGGAGGTGTGTGCAGTGCTGCCCACATGAGGCGTTATAACGGCACTCATGGGTTTATTAAGGCCGTGTGTACGAGGCGTATCTCGGACAGAGGAATGCCGCGAGCTCTGTAGTTTATTAACCAACAGGTTAAAACCAGGCTTCTGCAGTGAGCCCTGCTGTCTATTAACCGACAGGTTATAGGCAGCTGGTTTACACAGGGTGGGAGACATGTGAGAACCACTTGATACTGATGACTCAGACAAAAACTTGGAAAATAAACAGCTTTTATTCTCCTCACAATGCCCCCCCAAAATGTCACAAACGGCTCTGCTTCCTTGGTGGCTCTCGTGGAGCAGACCAGGAGCGGGGGTGCCTCACTCCCCTTCTACTCACCACCGGAAGATCCTGTCTCTGGAGTGGCGGGGGAGCGGAGACGTGGGACGGAGCCCCTGCTGTACGAGGCGTATCTCGGACAGAGGAATGCCGCGAGCTCTGTAGTTTATTAACCAACAGGTTAAAACCAGGCTTCTGCAGCGAGCCCTGCTGTCTACTAATCAACAGATTTGTGACAGCCGGCTTAGTTAGCAAGCTCTGCAGTTTATTAACCGATAGGTTAAAACCAGCATGCTTCTGGAGCGAGCCCTGCTAACGACAGGTTAGTGACAGCTGGCTTAATTAGCGAGCTCTGCAGTTTACTAACCGACAGGTTAAAACTAGCAGGCTTCTGCAGCGAGCCCTGCTGTCTACTTAATCAACAGATTAGTGGCAGCTAGCTTAATTAGCGAGCTCTGCAGTTTACTAACTGACAGGTTAAAACCAGCAGGCTTCTGTAGCGAGCCCTGCTAACGACAGGTCAGTGGCAGCTGGCTTAGTTAGCGAGCTCTGCAGTTTAACCGAGAGGTCAAAACCAGCAGGCTTCTGTTGCAAGCCCTGACGCCGTGGCGCTGCGGGCGCTGCCGCTGGGGGCGCTCAGCCTGGAATACTGACAGATCAAGGATGGGTCTCATTCCCCCGTTCTGGCTTCTCTGTGATGTGCTGTAATGGTCGTCATGGTGACGAGCCACGCCATTGCCCTCGCCACCGCTGCCCGTGAGGCGAAAGGGCTGTGAGGGAGCCCCCACACGCTGCGTTTCACTCCGGATCTCATCATGAGGCGCGTACACGCTCAGGGGATGAGTGGAGGTGTGTGCAGTGCTGTTCACATGAGGCGTTATAACGGCGCTCATGGGTTTATTATGACCGTGTGTAGGAGGCGTATCTCGGACAGGAATGCCGCGAGCTCTGCAGGTTATTAACCGAGGTTATTAACCGAGGTTAAAACCTCGGTTATTAACCGAGGTTAAAACCTGCAGGCTTTTGCAGGGAGCCCTGCTGGCTAGTATAGGCAGCTGGCTTACACAGGGGGGGATATGTGAGAAACACTTGTTACTGATGACTCAGTACAAAAAGTTGGAAAATGAACACACTTTATTTTACTCACAACCCCCAGAACCGGCTCTGCTTCCTCGGAGGCTCTCGTGGAGCAGACCAGGAGCAGGGGAGCCTCACTCCCCTTTGACTCGGGAGACGCTGTCTCTGGGGTGGCGGAGGAGCGGAGACGTGGGACGGAGCCCCTGCAGCCGCCGAAGGGCGAGCCTGACGCCGAGGTGGTTGCTGTAGGCGTCTCTCCGCTTGCGGCCTCTGCTGCCGGTGTGGACGCCGCGGCTGCTGCAGACGTTGGTGCCGCTGTGGGAGCTCAGCAGGCTGGAGCCAGCTGACTCTGGTAAAACTGCATTCTCCCACTATGCTCCCTTTTTATGGAATACGCTGCAAGTAAAACTTTGTCGAGAGGCACTTCCTACTGTAAATGCTTTTAAAGGTATGCTACGATTAGCCCTTCATGAAACATGTAACTGTTTTACCTGATGCTATTGCTGATGTGATTATGCTTCTTGCCACTGCACAAATGGCCTTCTGTATTTATATTTGAATTGTATGTTTTTTGTTTAATGCCCTTGTTTTATGTTGAAACTTGTTGTGTGCCGTGTTGGTCAGGACTCCCTGGAAGAAGAGATCTTGTATCTCAATGGGACATTCCTGGATAAATAAAGGATAAATAAAAAAATTAAAAAACTCTCGTGCTGGCGACTTGAAAGGCACACTGGTGCACCCGGTCGGCCTGGCGGGCGACATACTGGTCTCTGGAGGCGCTCAACGTAGGGCGCCGTCCGGCGATTATGTTGGCCTGTCTTACCCCAAAAAACGCCATCAGGCTCGGCTCCAGAGAAGGGGCGGCTGGAAAACCAGCATCTGTGAACCCCTCCACCTTGGTGAGGGGAACAAATATGGCCACCGGAGCCTTCAGGGTCCTCGGGTTCGCCGCTGCCCCCTCCTGGAACGTCCTGATGGCTGGGAAGCGTAGCCAGATCAGGTCACTCCTGACCATCTGCACCCGCGAAAAGTCATTATGAACCCAGAGCCACATGAGGGATAATCTCTCACACAATTGTTACTCATGTTTAATCTGCAATTGAAGTGTCTCTTGTGCTTCAGTAACGGGGTGCTGAAGAAAAGAGGGAGCAGATTGTCGGGCCTACTTCCTATTTATACCGAAAGGGAGCCCGAGGGTGGGGCCCACCTTGCGGGCGGGCGTGGACTACAAGTATTTTCAGTGCTGCGCGGGTGCGCAGGGCGATTACCCAATAGCGATAGCCTAATAGCGATAGCCTTAGAGGGCGAAGCCATATACGAAATAGAACCACACTGACTCACTCTCCCTTCCCCTTTAATTTCACTCCCTTATCATACCTAAATACATTCATTTTAATTATAGCTTCATTCTTTTGGCAAGTGTCTTAATAATACCTATTGGAAGACTTACTTGTTTCCATTCATAGTTTAAGAAATAAGTCATATGTCAGAATGTTCAGTCACTGCATTAAAACAGAACCGCCATGCAAAGCAGGGGGTTATTATTAGATGACTTTACATATGACGCAAACTGAGCAGAGACCAGTCGTGAACAGTGACACTGTGTACCAACTAAAGCAACCCTGTCTCCTAGAAATTACGTTCCCACAGAACTAAACTGCATTCTCAATTACATTTAGCTAGAAACGTATTTTCTCCCACGTTACGTTCGTTATGAACGTATCTCAAATACGTTTATTTTCTACATATCTTCTAGAAGCATATTTTCTCCCACGTTACGTTCATTATGAACGTATCTTAAATACGTTTATTTTCTACATATCTTTGCCATTTATTGTCTTGCTTATAATAATTATAATAGTCATTTATAAATATCATTTTAGAGCACACATTTGAAATCAGTAGGCGAGGCTGTAATTTCGCCAGCTGTTACTCTCATGAGCGAGGCAGAACATAATAGTTTTAACATGCCAAAAAGCTGCCGTGTCATTTATTGCACCTCAAACATTAAAACAAATCCAGAGTTACGTGTTTCTGTACTTCCTCTAAGAAGAAAGGACAGTAACAGAAGATCTCTATGACGCCAGATGTGGTGTTGTTAATGCGATATGATATCCGGAAAAAAAATTCAGTTTAGGATGGCCGAAGACACTACACTACCCATAATCCCCAGCTATCGTTTGGGACTACAGTCCCGTTGACAAACCCCGTGATTAATCTTCAAGCTCTGGGATTGGATGTTGGATTGGCAGTGCGCCAAGGTTACGCCGAGCGTCAAGCTCTTTGAAATGGAACGAAACCACGGCAGACTATTCAAAACTGGACTCGAACGCCCCCCCCAGAACTACACATGCTGGCTATTGTGTTTCGCAACATGTTCTCTATGGCACGTCTCTACTGGGAATTGTAGTTTTAAAAAGACGTTTTCGTTTTTCCAAAAATTAGAAGTTGACAGTATTAAACTGTGTACAGCCCTGGGGTTTAGGCGATAGGAAACAAATTGGTGTGTACAAATTTAAAACATGTAATTAATACATGAGTGAAAATCGCTTGTATCCATAATGGGTAGCATTCATATATACCCACATGACAGCTCATTGTTACTTTGTAATTCTACTCTACTACAATTCAGAGGTTAACCTGGTATTTTTACTCCACTACATTTATTTTAGTTACTCTGCAGATTCTGATTAATGATGTGAAATATAAACAACCCTTAAAGCTGACTTTAGTTACACCTGAGTAAAATTCAGGGAAGGTGATTGTCAAGTGCCAACAATCAGGAGAGATATTTGATAGTTGGTGCTTGAGAAGACTAAACATTTATCTGCAGATCTCTATAAAGTATATTAATTACTCGTTATTCTCTACTAATAGTTCATTAAAAACTGTATATAATGGCTATTTTGCTCATCCCTTTCAATATTTCAATATTTTCTAAGGTTTATTGACATATCATAACTACGGTGTAGTTATGCAATGAATGAAAAACTTGGGTCACAGGTTCCTCAACAGTGCATTACAAGACATCTATCAATATGTGTGTATACCTCCACCATTAAACTGTCAAATTCTGCACATTTCTTATACTATCTACATACATAAGAGTATAATTAATGTGTTTATCAATGTTAAAATAAGTGCTTCAACATAGTTAACATTGCAGGAAAGCAATACATTAGACGTTAAGTACTTTGTCAGGCTTAATAGTTATCTGTAGATAGATACCCCCAAAGCTTTTTTCTTATTTGAAAGAAGACCTTAACCTAATGTATTCTTTAATGTGTTAATAAATGTTAATTAGTTTGTCTGTTTTGCACATCCTCATATTAATATCTTTGTACATCCAGCACTAAACTGTTTTATTGTAGAGATCACTTACAGTATCTTCTTGATTTTTTTATATTATATACTTCTATCATTGACCTTCTACTTTCCCCTGAAAGTATGTACTGTAAATAACATTATTCAACAAAAATAACATTATTCAACAAAAATAACATTATTCAACAAAAATAATTCAATAACGTGCTTTAACCACTAGGCGGTGCACACAAGGTACACACAGCATACTAATAATAACTTTGTATTATTAGTGTAGGACACTTATGTATGTATAACATCTGAAAATGTGTAGTTTTATTCATGATTTTACATAATTGCTATACTATTTCTCATGTTTTACTTCTACACATTAATATCTGATTTGTAAAACATCACAGACAGAAAGGCATTATCCGTAATGTAATGGTAAGCTATTGCAATTGTGATTCCATAGATGTGTCCCATCACCCAAATCCCCTGACTATTCCCTCAACTCAGTATTTACATTCTTATATTCAAAGAAAATCAGTAATATCTTTAAAAACTACAAGTCCTTTTCTATCAGCTGTGCACCGTTATGGTGTAAATATAACCTATCTACCAATTGGATCAAATATAAAAGTCAGCCGAATTACTATTGATACTGCAAGGAGACGTATTTTGTGAAAAGAAATGCAAGATGTTGTTTAATTGTTGATATATTTATGATCCACGTCGCATATTCAGTTTTGGCGGCAGTTCTTCAAGTTTGTCCAGAAGTCTTCTCATCAGGGCTCTATAAATAGAGAACTACGGCAGATGTGTAATATTTAATGCAGCCGAACCGTGTATTACAATGCCGTTATGTGATGACTTTCAAAGAGAAAAGCAAGAACACTCGGAATAAAGTATTATTTTATTTTAAAAAAATGTTTTCGGATATCATATCGCATTAACATCATATCCCAACATGCATTGCGGCTAAAATATCCAATCAACGAGCTTCAAACTGAGGATCTTGTTCAGTGGGTTTTTGGTGTGTATCGCTCGAAATGTCCCTTTTTATAGGCCTACCTCTGTTTCCGGTGACTTTATTTACGGCTAAAAAGCCCAAGATTATAGCATTAAACGAATAAATAAAAACAAGGATACTTGTGTGTTATTGTTGAGTAAATAACAGTGTGTTATTTAGAAAAGAATAACAAATTAGAAGGAAACATTTTTTTCAAAAATACAGATTTCAGTATTTTGAGGCTCTAAGCCCCATTTCTTTTCCTCACAGACGGGAAAAAAAGTCCGACATTATACGATTTAAAATAAAAACATAAAACACTGGCATGTAATTTACGTTAGAATAAATAGAATGGTTTTGAACAATAGATGAGAGTAAAATCTACGTCACTTTACAGCCCCGCCCACTTTTGGGGAAACCAACGCTGTCATTTGAACAGCGATCAAGCCTGAAGCCACAGAGCTCTTCTTTTACTGTCTTTTCTTCTTAGAGGAAGTACAGAAACACGTAACTCTGGATTTGTTTTAATGTTTGAGGTAAACGACACAGCAGCTTTTTGTCATGTTAAAACTATTATTTTCTGACTGCTCATGAGAGTAACAGCTGGCGAAATTACAGCCTCGCCTACTGATTTCAAATGTGTGCTCTAAAATGATATTTATAAATGACTTATCATTATAATAAGCAAGACAATAAATGGCAAAGATATGTAGAAAATAAACGTATTTAAGATACGTTCATAAGAAACGTAATGTGGGAGAAAATATGCTTCTAGAAGATATGTAGAAAATAAACGTATTTGAGATACGTTCATAACGAACGTAACGTGGGAGAAAATACGTTTCTAGCTAAACGTAATTGAGAATGCAGTTTAGTTCTGTGGGAACGTAATTTGTTGGAGACAGGGTTGACTAAAGTTCAGTGTCATTTCACTTCCAGCATTGACAGCTTTGGGCCCTCCCACTTTCTGACTTGTACAAATATTTCAAATAGGTGCTGTACATACTGTTATATGATCATGAGTATATATGGTGTTGATTGTACTTGGGATTGGGATTGTGATTGGGGTGTTTACACTGCAAATGAAAATGTGTCATTAATCTCACACAGTTTCTATAGCAGCGCTAATGTGGTTCCCCTCCCAGCCTTTAGCTTTGGGAAAGGAGTGGACAAAGTAGTTTGAAGAGTCTTAACCTGTCGGTGCTGAATAAAACCAGACAGTAACTAGTGTTTTTTTCTTCTAAACGTCACATCGTGAGTTAAACCTGCCATGGTGGTTAGTATGCCCTTAATCCTCCTTATAGGTCCAAGCAAGTAGATATGTTCAGTTTTAAGCTGCCTTTATTACATGTCAATTGACTCTGTATATTCACAAGACAGAGACTTAATAGTATCATAACAGAAATAATATTCCCTGTTAATATTCACTAAACCTAAGAAAGCACATTATGCACAGGTTTTCCCAAAGTACTCTGCAGGGTCAAATAAGGGAAACATTTAACATCTATTCATGAAGCTATTTTAACTGCAAAAACCACCAGTATCATCATGACTTAATTTAATACATCTGACAAAAATAAAGCACTGTAGAACAGCAGGCCTGGTGTGAACATTGATATATGAAAAGAGAATAGGAATCTAACCGATCTCCTGTCGGTTACAATAAATCCCACAAATGAAAGTGCATATGGCCCCTCAACTCTGGAATGCTTATATAACTCAAAGCCTAACCCCCTTGACTCTAACTGGCAGTTCGGACACACAGACTTTAGTTTTGACTCGTGAAAAGCTGCAGCATTTATTATTTGACAAACTACACCCAGGTTTCCCAAAGGGAGCTAGGCTGCTCTTATAACAATATAATATGTAATGTAAACATGGTGGTTGCATTTCAACCAGGCCAAACCCGTGATCACTGGCTGTGATATAACTGCTAGCTCCAATACATGCGGCGCCAGATTTAAAAAAAATAACATCAACAATTGTAATTTTAAAATGGTGTTCCTATGCAGAATGTTCATGTAATGTTGGGAGTTGTTCAGACCTAGTGTGAAACAGCCAGCTGTACAGAGGTAAAGGTATTTTCTGTCACTCCATTGTAAACAGGGCCGTCAAAAGTGTGTGGTGATATCAGTTGTGGAGATGTTAAACTTTGAGGAGGCATGGAATTACCTTTTTGAAGGACCGGTTCGAGCTAGTCACTTGTTGCATACCTCCTAATTGAGCTCTTTGCACCAACAACAGTCATGTGACATGCCTGTTAAACAGTCTACCAATCAATATAAACTAAAGGAAGGCTTGCTGTGTTTGAACAGTCACTCATTTGTTACCTCACACCTCAAACACGCAATAAATAATCCTTTCATTAATAGGTTGGGCTGTTTGTTTTGAGCGCAAGATTAAATGTTATTCACGCTACAGGTTTGTCTGTTTTCCTCTCCACAGGGGCCTCACATTCCAAATCACAGAGGTCCTCGACAGCGTCCCAACATGTCCCCGTCATCCATGAAGAAAGAGACTGAAAGAATAGCAAAAATATTTTCAGCCCACTTTGATGGCAATCACTAGTGGTGCTCGAAATGTGTACAGCTGGGTGATTTTAGATCATGTAAATTCAAGGTGACATTTGTATTTTTATAAATAAACATTAACTGTCCATTGTTGCAACACTGCATACCTTTTTGAATTTGTTGTATTATCATACAGGCCTCAGGTCACATTATGCACAGTATGTCCTGTTTGAACCTGTGCGTCATTGGCGGTTGCACATTTCTGTTTTCGTAATGCCAGATAGCTGAAAAACTATTCAAAATTACAAGAAACTTAAATCAAGACACAAGCAACAATATCTATATTACAGAGGTGATACAACTGGACATGCTTACTTGCATACTTTATATAATTATTCCCAGGGGGGTTAAAAGTCTTACTTTAACATAAGTTGTACGTATTTTGCTTAGACTTTATAAATTAGGTATTCAGGATGTTGCTGTGCAGAGTAATACAAAGGTTTCTTTATTTTCCCAAATACAAATGTCTGACACCTACGCCCCCAGGGACTTCTTATAAAACACGTTGTTATGTTCCAGACCAAAAGAGACACCTTACTTTAAGGTGTAAAAAAAGCTACAAAAAAAAAAATTGTATTTGAATGTTGAGAGGTCTTGCAAATAAGGGACATGGCACTTCCTGGCTTGTACGGTATATTTTTATTTTCTTTTTTATCTATGAGAGTTATAAAGGACATATCCTGACCAAATGCTCTGTATTTACCGAGGCAACTAAAACACCGCTCCTCACATGCGTGGAGCAGCGTGCGTGCGGCTGTGTTTTTGCGCGCGTGTGTGCAGGGCGGTGCAGCAGCAGAGAGACAACCCCCGACTGCCGGCTGGTTCGAGATGAGCTGTTATTCGTGGTGACCGGCAGTTGTTTTTGTTTAAAGTGGAGAGTTTGGAGCTTTGTTTTTATGGGTAATAGCACAAGTTCACAACAATATCCAAAAGACACACTTTTTTAATCCCGGAAATGTGACTGCGGCTGTAGGAGCTAACTCACCTGTCTGCGCTGTCTGCTCGTCCTGGTTTTTTTTTCACAACACTTTGTGCATCCTCTGAGCTGAGTCATGGTTGGTGAAGGATCTGCTGATCTGGCTCCATCAGTCGCTGTTAAAGTCTTCTCCGCCGGAGCAGCTGGCTGTGTGGCCGACCTGGTCACCTTCCCTCTAGACACAGCCAAAGTGCGACTGCAGGTGAGCAGCATCACCTCAAGTGTATGAATTATCCCCCCAACATATTATAGCCACCTAAAACATCTGTATCCTTTGTTTTCATTTACCTGTGTCAGCTTGGATATAAGCTGTCAAAACACTTTACCAATGCTGGGATATAACTTATTGGTTAAAAGATACACAAGTTTTTCCATTTGTAGTTATTTCCTCTTCTACTTCAATACATGTTTAACTGATAACATCCCCCTCCTCAAGTCTCTACAATCCCCACATTCATTGAACAAGACAAGTCCTCAGTGGTATCGGCATCTGCTTCTTGCTTTGGTTTTAGGCAGGCACTGTACAGGGGGAACAACATAACACCAGTGCTTGTAGCTACATGTCAAAACTATGGCGTAACTGTAACACTTAACAAACGAGGAAATCGCTATGTCCATAAACGCCATAAGAGACTGATATTATGTCAGCTAGCTGGATATAAGCTGTCGAAACACTTTACCAATGGGATATAACTTATTGGTTAAAAGATACACACGTTTTTTCATTTTGTAGTTATTTCCTCTCCTACTTCAATACATTTTTAACTGATAACATCCCCCTCCTCAAGTCTCTAATCCCCAAATTCATTGAACAAGACAAGTCCTCAGTGGTATCGGCATCTGCTTCTTGCTTTGGTTTTAGGCAGGCACTGTACAGGGGGAACAACATAACACCAGTGCTTGTAGCTACATGTCAAAACTATGGCGTAACTGTAACACTTAACACACGAGGAAATCGCTATGTCTATAAACGCCATACCAGTGCTGGAATTGGGCCGGTACTCACCGGTACGCAGTACCGGCACTTCTGGTTCTGACCCATGGAGTACCGGCACTTCTTGCTCAGTACCGGCATGCTGGCGGTACTCCGGTACTCATGCACCGTGCCGGTTACTCATGCACCGTGGCCAGTAACTCAACACTCTCCCGCCGTTCTTATTATACATCCATATATATATATATATACAGGCGCCCGGTACTCAGTAGATGCGTCATGAGGTGCCGAACGGACATTCTCATCGCTCTAACCGCTGGAGTCTCACAGCGGCTGTCAGCTGTTTACTCCTGTCATTCAAACAGAACGTGCTGGAGAGGGGGCGGGGCTTATCTTCTCCATGTAAATACTGTGGTGGAAACGACTATGTCAAAATTAACCTATTTGACCGTGATTAATAGTAATACACGTTTCAAAATAATAATAATAATAATAATAATAATAATAATATGCCGAAGTAACAACATACTGAAAACTGTTAGTAAAACCATGTTTTAAAATGCTTTACAATTTACATACCTAGATGCACGTGTGTTGTGTTTATGCAGTGCAACTCCCACCCAGTGGGTGGCTATGTTAGAGTGATAGAACAGAGCAAGGCACGCCCCGAGAGAAGGAAAGCAAGTCACGTCACAAATTAGCATTTCTAAAATGTTAGCGTGGATTAATAAAAAGTGCAAAAAGACAGCGGTTGTCGCCGGAAGAAACTTCAAATACAGAGAATGCTGTGCCTGTGTTGGAAATTGTGTCTGATGGGGACCTTTCTTTGGTTGATCCTCCTGCTCCAAGTTCTAGTGCATTAGCATTAGCACTAGCTCCGCCGACTCCTCCAGAGGCCTCTAACGTTAGCTGCTGCTGGCGCAACTGCCACCACCAACACCGGGCAAAGCGATGCACCTGACTGCTGGACAACGGACCAGGTGCAATATTTTGCAAGACCAATGCATGGCTCTTCTTAAAGATAAGAAGCTAGGATGTCGGATATGCAGAGATGTCAAATCTTTGGGAATACACACTGGACAAGGACTGAAACTGTCAACTGAATGGGGTGAGTGTGCAGTGTCTCATTTCGGTGTTGACAAGGGCAAACAACAAGCTAGCCTGAGAAAAAAAATCAAAGAACATAAAGAATCACAAGCCCATGTAAAAGCTGCTGACATCTTTACATCTGCTTCACGTGAAACTATTCAACATCAAGTGCAGTCTATGCATACATCTGAATTAGACACCACTATCAGAGTTTTTCGAGCGGCATATAAAATTGGCAAACATAGCCGGCCATTCACAGACATGCCAATTGATTTGAATGTACAGAAACTGAATGGGCTGAACGTGGGCAGGGTTTTGCACTCCAATAAAACCTGTGGCGAAATCATCGACCACATAGCTCATGAGCTGAAGAAAAAAATGGCAAAAGACATTACAGAAAACCAAAGAAAACTCTGTGTTTTGGTCGATGAATCTACCACTATTAGTGGTAAAACGGTGCTTGTGTGTGTGTCTACGCTCAGCATTAGCTGATGCTGAGCCCGAAACGTTTTTTTGGGAGCTGATCGAGTTGGATGGAACAACGGCTGATGACATCACAAAGGCGTTAATGGAGTGTCTTGAAGAGATTTTAACGAGGACTTTTAGGTCAGTGTTTCGTTCTTTTGCATGTGATGGGGCTTCAGTCATGCTAGGGAAGAGAACAGGCGTTGCTACCCAGTTGTGTAGTAAATTCCCAAGCCTGTTTGTGTGGCACTGCTCCAATCATCGTCTAGAGCTGGCAGTTGGGGATGTGGTCAAGGAGGTCTCAGGGCTCAATCATTTCCAGATCTTTTTTGACAAACTCTATTCCTTGTTCCATGCCTCCCCCAAAAATCAGAGGCAGTTAGCGCAGTGTGCGCAAGCAGTCGGACAGCGTCTCCTGGTGATAGGGCGTGTTTTGTCCATCCGCTGGGTGGCTTCAAGTGAAAGGAGCGTCAGAGCAGTCTGGGAAAACTACAGAGTGCTTCATGATCACTTCACAAATGCTGCAAACGACACGAGCAGGGGATTCCAGAGACAGAGCAAAGTACAAGGGCCTGGATGATGTGCTCACATCTGCAACGTTTGTCAGCAATCTGGGACTGATGTACGATGCGCTCACAGAGCTCAGCGACCTCTCTCGGCAACTCCAAAAAAGAGAGATGACACTGCCTACAGCAGATAGGCTCTTAACTCGAGAAATACGAGTTTTTGAATCCATGGTCACCATGCCTGGCCCACACATGACTACAGTTCATACAGCTCTAGCTGAGAAGTCCTTCAAGGGTGTTGCCCTGCGTGAGAATGGCAGGCTTGTACAGATTCATGCAGGTCAGTTTTTTCCGCAGTATGGTAGAGAATCTGAGACACAGAATGACTTCCACAACCTCCTCTCATGTCAGCACAAGAGAAATCCCATTACATGGCCGGGAGGGCCCGGGACAATCAGCTAATCCAGGACATGAAAGTTATCCATCCTGGAAGTTGGCCTGAAGAGGAGTTAGACGTACAGTATGGGGACGTAGAGGTGCTACGTTTGTGCGAAGTGCTGAAAGTGGACAGAACGAGAGACTGTTCAGGGCTTTCGCGAATACAAGGGAAACCAGGGCATCCCGTACACCTGCTGCCATGGAGCCTCTACTGAAAGCAGTCCGAACCATCGCTGTCTCACTAGTGAGTGTGAGCGGGCATTCAGCTGCATGAACGATATCCTTACTGCAAAAAGGAATGCTCTCTCTGTCAGCCGACTGTCCAGCCTGGTTTTCATTAAATGTAATGGACCATCACTAGGACAGTTTCAATCCGGAACAGTATGTGAGGTCCTGACTGGCAAAGGGAAGGAGAAGTGCTGATGAAAGAGCCTGTCCAGCTCCAGCCCCTGATACTGATGTCCCCAAGGCCTTCTGGAGCCTTTTCTAACAATGTGAAGTATATTGCAAAGCAGCTCACCCAGTGAGAAGACTTTTGGCATAATGTGCCGATTTGTACAGATCCTGGAGATAGAAGGACTTCAGACCAACCAGGGAGTTATCTGATCAGCTTGGTGTTCAATGGAACTCTTTACCATGGCTCAGACTTTGTTACTTGCAGTTACAGTTTTCTCATTTTAGATTGTGCAAATTTTGCATTTGTTTTGACATGTTCTTTGTTCATGCTCTTTATCATTTTTCTGAGTTGGAAAGTTAGATTGCATCATAGTTTACTTTATACATATTTGTATTCTTCAGTGGTGAAGTATATTGCAAAGCAGCTCAGCCATGTGAGAAGACTTTTGGCACTTTTTTCGTTTTCTGAGTTGGAAAGTTAGATTGCATTCAAAATGTACAGAAATACTTAATTTTGTTAAAGCTTTTTATAAAAAATGCTTCTGACCAGAGCTTTGTTTCCTTGTCATTAATGTTGAACACCACCAGAGGGGCTCTCACCTGAAAGGTCTCTGCTTCATGTGTCTTCAGCAGAAGATCTAGACTTTGATTGCTATATTTTCAGTTAATATTGACCTTACTGAGCTTTAGCTATATCCGCTGCCTATCATAAAAAATGTTAAGTACAGTGAACCTTTCTAAAATATACAGTAGTAAAGAGACAAACCCACCAGCATTATAGTAGCCAAATTCTTGTTTGTGGGCTGTATATATAAAATTGACTTGAAAAAGTTGCTGATTTTAGAGTACTGGCACCTTTTTCATTCCAATTCAAGCACTGCATAAGACAGTGCTTCTCAAACTTTTTTCAGTCATGTACCCCCTTTGAAACATTTTCTCAGCCAAGTAGGCCTACGTCCCTGACCGACACCGAACATGTTTGATAGAAAAAGCCTATATAAATAATTACAATATAGTGATGTTCCATCAGTGTGTGATTTATGAACTCCTTCATCCATGAATTACAACAAACAAAGAACATAACGACATTTTTTTTAAATAGATTTTTAATTATATGTTTAACGAACCAATGAACAAAATGTTATATTATGCAAAAACTATAAAATACAATGCACAAATATTATAATAAAATGTGGTGCCTGATGTGCTACCATCCAAAACCCATAACAAGAAAACAGCATTAAATAAGCAGTCACAATGCATGAAAGGGTTAAAAACAAAACATTGTAACACAAATGTGCAATTACAAAAAAACTACGTAATAACACTGCAATGACACTATTAATGAGTTGTAGGGTGCATTAAACTGCATTT